CATTCATAACCCCTAAGCCACATTGCACCAAAGCTACAAGCGATATCCACAGGATAAGCACAGGACAAAAAGCGAGAAATTTTGGCCAGTTCTTCATAGATCATTTATTTAAAGGTGTGCATACAAATGGCATACAAGAAAATCTCGATTTAAACTGCGACCTCTTCAGTTGTCTAAAGAGTTTGGCGGCTGTAAACTCTGGCGGAAAGTTGTGGCTGTTAATCCATGGCATACGGTTTCAGACCCATATTTTTTTTATCAAATCAGTACTTGACAGACAGATTACAGGCCAACTTTGCTTCTCAAGACTTTTCCTGGTATTCATATAAGGCTGAGTCGACATAGAAGCCAACATCGGTTATAAAAATCCATTTGATGCGGATTTGAACCCAGGATCATTTCACTGCCAGGCAAGTATCAAGCAATTACAACACAACTTTATTCAGATGGTGAAACACCAAAAACAAAATTTTTGTTTTATTTTAATTTTGTTTTTAAAAAAAAATCACATAAATAGAAATTGCAATCCCCAAATATTGATATTTCCATATCAAAAACCCTTAATGATCAGTTTAACCCACAAGTATAATCCCTGTAAAAATGCACTGAAAAATATTCACTATATTTTATCACTGAATTGCATACAGAGATAAATTACAAGCTAAAATACCGAATTCTAAGATGGGGCTATTCAACAAAGTTTGCTCCGAGGGCCACAGTATTGAAAAAGGTTCATCTTGACGGGCCAGAGCCTCGACCCTCGCGCAGAAAGATTAACACAAATGGCAATGATCCACTGGCTATGCTGGGCCTCTGCAAACCAGATTGGGCCCACGAGCCACCAGTTGAATAGCCCTGATCTAAGACGCAAGAATAAATTATATGTTAAAATATCAATCCCTTGAACAGTTTTTTTTTTTAAAGTATATGGTGCTACCTTCATTTTCTTTTTATTGACACTAATCATCCCTTGCCAGGTAAGAGTAGTTTGCATTTTCCTTCCAGAAAATTTCCTGGCCTTCATTTTAAGCTGGGTCCAACTGACAGCTGGGATGAATATTTTTTTTTATCTCTCTTGAGGTTGATTTGAACACCTGACCTCCGCACCGGCAGGTAGATGGGGGCTTCAGCGGCATTTCCTCCAACAATTACTGCCTATATCGCCACAATTATGGTGGAGGCATTAGGGTCTTTGAGTCTGAAGAATTATGGCGGCAGGGCTAGTGTTTTTTCCACAGACTGTGCAGGTTAGGATTTTATTTGTGCCCCGGACAGAAAAAAAATATATCCTCAACCTCACTGAGGGTTTGAACCTACATCTCCCGCACGAGAGCCAAGCATTCCTAACTCCCTAACACAATATGTAGGAGTAAATCTGTGCATCATTTACTCCTCACACTTTATGTAGGGGTAAATAAAGTACTAAAACAACATTAGAGTAGGCATAAATTAAGTAGCAAAATATCCCCATAAAACAAGCTGCAGTAAATATGTATCAGCTCCTTAATACTTATGGTTAATCATAAACTACAAACCTCAAACGCAAGTGTAAATCATGTACTAAAACTATACTAAACAAGCAACCCATGTACTATACCACTTTTCATTACTTCAAAAACTGGTAAATCAGGTATTACAAACTATTGTTACCTCATAAACAGGGGTAAATCATGTATGATAAATTTTCAGTACCTTAAAACTAGCGGTAAATCATGTTTTACAAACTATTTTCTCATAAATCATGTATTATAAAATATCAAAAACTCATGAATGGGGGTGAATTGTGTATTATGAACTACTACCTCATGAATTGGGATAACTCAGATACCACAAACCCTCACATACACAGAGGTCAATCATGTACTAAAATCTAGCACTGTCTCATAAACTGTGTACTACATACACACTATCACTACTGTATACACACACAGTGGTAATTTAAGCACTACAAACTATCACTACCTCATAAACAGCGGTAAATCCTGTACACTAACCAATAACATACATAGCGACAATTTTTGTAAAATAATAAGCTACCATCTCAGCGTACATAATTTTCAATATCGATGCCAGAAAGGGACTAAAATAGCACAGCTGCCCCTTCATTTACTATTTTCTATACAGTGTCCTACCCATCCAGCCACCCTCTTCATACCCTTTACTATTATTCTGCACAAATACAGACCACTTTTGCTCTCCACATAGTGAGATAGTGATAACACACATTTCTCATTCATACCACAAAGTATGGAACTGATTCACTGTTTACCTTACAATGTTAAACCATATCTACTGCCCTTCTATATACATGGACTTTACACTTTTTTGCGTATAATAATCTTTAAAAACTTCCCTTTTTTATTTAAAAAAAAAAAAAAAAATTGCAAGCGCACACATTGTAACAATTCTCCGCAATTTCGGCCTAAGAAATTAGAGAAAGAAGCAGAAGAAATTAGAGGAAGAAGCAGAAGAAATTAGGAGGAAGAAGCAGAAGAAATGAGAGGAAGAAGCAGAAGAAATTAGAGGAAGAAGCAGAAGAAATTAGAGGAAGAAGCAGAAGAAATTAGAGGAAGAAGCAGAAAAAATTAGGAGGAAGAAGCAGAAGAAATTAAGAGGAAGAAGCAGAAGAAATTAAGAGGAAGAAGCAGAAGAAATTAGAGGAAGAAGCAGAAGAAATTAGAGGAAGAAGCAGAAGAAATTAGAGGAAGAAGCAGAAGAAATTAGAGGAAGAAGCAGAAGAAATTAGAGGAAGAAGCAGAAAAAATTAGAGGAAGAAGCAGAAGAAATTAGGAGGAAGAAGCAGAAGAAATTAGAGGAAGAAGCAGAAGAGATTAAGAGGAAGAAGCAGAAGAAATTAGAGGAAGAAGCAGAAGAAATTAGAGGAAGAAGCAGAAGAAATTAGAGGAAGAAGCAGAAGAAATTAGAGGAAGAAGCAGAAGAAATTAGAGGAAGAAGCAGAAGAAATTAGAGGAAGAAGCAGAAGAGATTAGAGGAAGAAGCAGAAGAAATTAGAGGAAGAAGCAGAAGAAATTAGAGGAAGAAGCAGAAGAAATTAGAGGAAGAAGCAGAAGAAATTAGAGGAAGAAGCAGAAGAAATTAGAGGAAGAAGCAGAAGAAATTAGAGGAAGAAGCAGAAGAGATTAGAGCAAGAAGCAGAAGAGATTAAGAGTATTGGTCAGTTTTTAAAAATATCCAGAGAGTCTAAACTTATGACCACTGAGCAGACAGGCAAGCCTGCTAGCTACTGAGTCATCGTGGCATACATGTTAGGTAGACACATTTTTCATATTTTGCGTCATTATTCTGCGTAAAATGAAGTTTGATAAAAAACGGAAACAATCGCCAAATACAAACGGAGCAAAGAAATAACTGCTTTCCTTCAATCTGAGCAAGAAAACAAAGGTTTGTCAACGCAGACAGCAAAGTGATAAGTTTATTACGATGTCACAATGACAAAACAAAAATCTTTTTTTTTACCCTAAATACCATATGTATATGTTGTTTTTTTTAACCGAAAAATGATGAAAAACAGGATGTGGATTTTATATGAGATATAAGCCTGCATGTCAAATTCCAATCCATCTTAGCGAATTTTTCTCATCCCCATCAAATTTAGTGCTAAATGCTCGGCCCCTACTTTTTGCGCATAAAGCACTACTTTGCACCTTAAATTGACAATTGTAACTTTTCTCATGCAGCCCATCTTTCACTGCTTACACGTACTACTGTTTTAGTTTTAGTTTGTAGACAAATTGTGAGAAAATATTTTTTTCATTAAATGATCTACTCAAAAACTTGGTGCGGCCTATATACTCGTTCAGTATATACATGCGGAAATATGGTAGTACAAACAAATATTTATATAATCATGCGCACCATGGCTACCCACTATGCAGTTGCGACTAGCACCAAAGCTGTTACACAGACATACTAGCCACTACCCAAAGACAACATGTCATTAAAAATCCTTAAAAAGTCAGAAAAACTTTTTTTTTTTTCCCCAGGGCGACAAGGATATTATTATTCTTCTTTGCGTTCACAGGCTGTAAACTCTAGTGGAAGGTTCTGGTTGTTTGTCCACTTCTGGACTATGAGTGTTGCATGTACATTTGTTTCACAGGTATGAGTCATTTGCATGCAGACTGTTGGTTCCTTGCCTCTCAGGCAGATATACTCAGACTTTAAAGAAAGCTCCAAATTAGTTTAATTTTACGACATGCCTTTGGGCAGGCAGTGGGTCTATTCTTTGTTTTCCCCACAATGGGGCCCTGGAACCCACACGGGGGACAGGCTATAACCTCAGGCTCAAGGTCCTCCTTCATTATTAGTCAGCGTCCATGGCTTCAGAATGGTGAATGTGCTGCGAAGTGCCGAGTTTGATCCCAGCTGCAGGCAATGAGTTGATTTTGACCGTGGTATCCAGAGCCGACTGCTCAGAAAGCAATAAAAACTAATGAACATAAAACAACATAGTAAAATCATGATCCACGTAAAATCACAAACAAGCCAAAACATTGGTGGGGTTGGTGCTGCAACATCCAGCGTTAGCGCAGTCTATAGGAGACTTGCTTTCACATCCAGCCGCGACTCGCTGCAGCCCACAGCCGGTGTTCGAAACCAGGTGGCTCCTGGGGGTGACCCAGCCTTTAGCTACGGAGCTGCGTGCAGACAGCGACACAGGCGGACAGTTTCTTAGCTGTCCGTACTGGTGGCAGAGTACTTATGGTTTATAACCGCGTGCAATGACGCTGGTTCACATCTCCCAACTCGATAATTTACTTTATATCCAGCAAAAGGATATGCAACTAACTAACTAATGTGATAATTACAGACAGCAAATACAGTTTAAACCAATTTATTATTGCAACTGACATTTATGTATCCTTGAGTTTTAATATAACATATAACATTGACTGTACGTCATATTCAAATATTTAAAAAATGTGGAATTTGTTTACGACCTAAAACATGAACTTGCGGATTTCAACAGGTTACATTATTTAGGCATCCTTTGGTCTTAAACTGAACAAGACCTCAATGACGCCTTCGTCGGCCAGGGTTGATGTGTCGCCAATATCCCTATCATTCACAGCAATCTTGCGGAGAATACGACGCATGATTTTTCCTGATCGGGTTTTCGGCAGAGCCGGGGCATTCTGAATAAAGTCGGGCTGAGCAAAGGGGCCAATCTTTGATCTCACTGGAGACACAGATCAAACATAAATTATTATTGTCTAGATTATGTAGGACAATTTTTAAAAATTTCATGAAAAAAACAAAACAGGAATAAAATCATTAAGCAGCATTAAATGATGATGGTTAAGCGCCAACAAGCAAAAATTTTTAGAGCAGGCATCTTTTCTGTAGCAAGTGAGTTAATTATCCATCATTGTGGGCTGTGGACTATCTTGCACACTTTAAGGAATAAAATCAGGACCTTTGAGCTGCAATTATATCTACAGATTTGCTGCATGTGGAAGTCACTTTAGCGGTTAATGATTTGTGGGGGTGGGGGGAAGGGGGGGGGGGGGGGGCTAAAAGTGTGAAACATGGGTGGCTGAAAATTCACAGGTTGGCTGTGAACACCAAGTTGTGAGGGTAGGGTGAGATCCACAATGAACTGACCGCTGTTGGTGCGACTGAGTGGCTGGTTTGATTCAGAAGCTTTCAGTCCATGAGATAGTATGTTCATGTTGCCTTGTTGTGTGATACATTTTAGTGATGTGCTTTTATTTTGTTGGAGCCCGTAAACTGTCCAGTGAATGTGGTGTTCATAAGTTAAACTTTGGAATGCTGACATTGTGATTTTAGAGAATGGATTTTCAAGTGTCAGCCCATGTGCGTTGGGGTCGGCAAAGTTGCAGCTGTGTGGCATGCTGGTTGACGGGGTATCCAAGTTCTACAGAGGGTGCTGTGGTAACTTTGTAAATGTTTACCAGTGTGAATTTGTGATGGGGATGTATAGGAAATATTGGTCAGCAGAGGGGTGTGTCCTTTCCACAGACCGCCGTGATTAACTGGAGGTTGGTCAACGATACTTCAATAAGTGATTGGGTAGCAGATAGAAGTCTGGATTCTTTTCACCAAGTGGTGTATCTACCTTTGGCCCTCTGGTTAATCTGTTAATCAGTTTTCTCAATGTGTATCATACCAAGCATGGGAGTCTACTTCTCACCACTTGATTCATTAAAAAAAAAAAAAAAATTTCCCCCCTCCTGTGAAGGTTTCATATTTTTGATTGTGTCAATCATTTTATTCCTTCTACTACTCTGTCTGTGTCTTGTGTAGGTATGTCCGTAAGTAACGATATGGGATGGGTTAACAAATATCTCGGACATACCTGCTGCCATAAGTTCTTTCACCAACTCGTCATTGAAGACTCGACCCTGTGGAACATATTCAAATCACATATAAGTACTGAGTTAAAACTACACCACCACCAGGTGAGCATAAAATAAATAAAGACATGAACAGTTTTACACACTGGCGTAAGTAATGGGTCACTTTCCAATAATGAATAACATCTGTGTTTTTTATTTTTTTTTAAACTGTGGTGGCCTAATGTTTAAGGCCCATCTCTGTGTCATATTATTTTTCAGATTATTTCAGCTCTGAATGGCGAAGAAAAGTACCTTTTTTTTAAATGCAAATTCTGTTGCCAAAACAAAATTGAGAGATAACAGTGAAACATTCAAATGGCTCTACAAACATTACCGGTCTGCGTTTTATGTTTATCAAGTAAGAATCATAAATGACACACCCACAGCATTCTATCTAACCACCTGGTTAGCTCCTCCCCAGTAAGCCTAACAATTTCAAACACACATAAAAATTCAACCAGTGACTAACCTTATCCATCACCCAAGCCACTCGAGAAGCGCAAGACAAATACAGAAAAGCACGACACTGGGCTACAACCGGGTATCAGTGAGACGACTAAAGAAGAAGAAGAAGAAGACTAACCTCTTTAAGTGTGACAAAGCAATAGATACACTCCCCCTTGATGTGGTGGGGGTGGGAGACTGATGCTGCCTCGGCTACTGCCTCGTGCTCAATGAGGGCTGACTCCACTTCTGCTGTACTCAACAAGTGGCCCGACACATTGACCATGTCATCAATTCGCCCTGTGATCCAGATGTAACCCTCTTCATCTCTTTTCGCTCCTGTTGAAAAACAAAAGTGAACTTCACAAAAGCCTTTAAAAAAACCAACAATAAACACAAAAACTGTTGTTTACCAGTGAGAGTAAAGGTGACTGGGATGATGTTGGCCTTACTACCTGTCAAATGGTGATGGTCTATAAAGATGAGTCAGGCACTTACTGTGTGGTTCCAGGGCCCCACTTTAGGGGGAGAGGCGGGGGGGGGGGGGGGGGGGGGGGAATTGTGAGATGCGATGTATCAGAACAGAAATACTGTGGGAAAAACTAGGAGACCAAGTCACCAACTAAAAACTATGAACAATGGTGGGTACAAGAGCAGTAACTGATTTGACAGAACATCAAAGAATAAAATGATTTGGTCATATGGCCAGAATGAAACAAAAACAGCCAGCAGCTGGAGCGTGTGCGATTGTGTGAGAACGGAAGGTTACAAGGCAAGAGGCTAACTAAGAAAGAGATGAGGTGAATGTGGAATTAAGAATCAACATCCCAGCACTCGGGGCACTCCCATAAGCACTCTGTCCCCATCTTCAGCAGCAAGTGAAGAGTTCCAACTTCGATGGTATCAGTAACTCTCTGATTGTCACCTTCCCTTGAGTACTGAGCGTTGGCCAGATCTTCTGGTAACTCCCCGTAGAGCCATTCTCCTCAGACCGTAATGATCTATTTGTGCCACCTCACTGTTCTCTCACTCCCAAAGGGCCCTAACAGCTTGCCATACATCATTTCACCATCAAGTGGGAAAGAACAGGCCAGTCTATCAAAAGAACCAGCCAGTCTATCTCCATTCTCATTTCCCAACACACCAGCATAACCTAGAGAAAATATCCAAAAGACGCTAACTAACCGGGACCTCTAAAGCTATGTTTGCCACTCTGCATGAAACATATCTGTCTCCACTTTTCTCAACATACTCTGTGAGTCACTTACAATTACGACATGTGTGTACAGACCAGCAGTGACTGCTTCTACCTGCATTCTTAAACTAGATATTCTGATATCATAATAGATGGATGGACTGAGTAAGGGAAACACTACAGAAACACAACATGATATTAACACAAGCTACACACCTAGTAAAAGATAGGAAACTCCTCTGTGCGGTGCTTTTTGCGGCACAAGCACTCAGACAGAACAAAAACAACCTAGATAAAGTACAGACCACTGTCCCACTAAAAAGCCTGTCATAAAAGACGACTAATTAGGGCTTCTTCTTTTTAAGTCAGAGGGCATCAGCCTGAGAGGTGAGAATCCAACAGTCTGCATACAAACAAGCCAGATCTGTCAAATGGATTGGCATGCAAAACTAAATGGGAAAGACTGAAGTCCAGAAGTGGATGAACAACCAGAGCTTTCTGCTAGAGTTTTACAGCCGGTGAAGTCTAAGAGAAAGAGTCTAGGACAACATGTCTGATACACCACATGAGTTACTCTTGTTTTTTGTAAATTGTAAACACTCAAGAAAAAAGAAGTACTATCTTCAGTGTTCTTCTTCTTCTTCTCTTCCACCTTGTACCTCAGCGAAGTGTCGGGGAAAGATGTAACATTCGTTGATGAGCTCTGTCAAGAGCACTATTAAGACTGGTGATCCTTTTTGTAAGGCTGTTCTTAATGCCATAACTCCATATTTTCCTAGGTCTTCTACTTGCTCTATAACCGTTGTAACATTTTAGTGTGGCTCGCTGTAGCAGATAGTACCAGGGCATTCTTGTTAGGTGTCCAAACCACTTCATTTGTTGTTCTTTGATTACTTGTAAGACTGGCTTTATTCCTAGCATTCATCTGATTTCGTACTGTTTTTCCTTAAAACTCCTGCATCTCTTCTAAGGCATTTCATCTCTGTTGTCACAATTTAACGTCCACTGGAGGATGTAAGTGTACACGTTTGCACTGATAGTTTAGTGTTGGCCAAAAAATAGTTCTGATTAGATTCACTTTAGTACTCTAATACCAGTGTGGTACCTGCTTGTGTTTCATCAGGGAAGATAGTTGCCCGGTTACCTGATTAGCTTCAGTGTTCACTGTTTGTTTATAAAGGGCAGTGGACACGTTTTGTTGTGCGTTTAACATCTAGGCTGCGATATCTTTGCTATTCAGGTTTCATCAAACTAACCTAACTTTTTTTTTAAAGGGTAAGAAGACTCACATGGTGTATTGAACATATTGTGCTGTTATGTTCTGATTTACAGCTAGGCACTATAAGAACATTATGCGGGCTTACCATCACCAGTGGTGTAATAACCGGGGAATTTCTTGAAGTAGGTGGTCTCAAATCTTTCATGGTTGCCAAATACAGTCCGCATGATTCCTGGCCACGGCTGTTTAAAAACCTGCAAGAGATAACAAATAATATCACGTCTGGTCCCTGTATATGGAGCCACCATGATCTAGTGGCTAGATGATTGCTCGCAGATATGATGGCCGAGGTCCTTCTAGTGGCTAGATGATTGCTCGCAGATATGATGGCCGAGGTCCTTCTAGTGGCTAGATGATTGCTCGCAGATATGATGGCCGAGGTCCTTCTAGTGGCTAGATGATTGCTCGCAGATATGATGCCACGAGGTCCTTGAGTGGCTAGATTGCTCGCAGATATGATGGACGATTGCTTGCTTGCAGATATGACGGCCAAGGTCCTTTAGTGGCAGAATTGCTCGCAGACGAGGTCCTTACAGAGTCACCCTGATCTAGTGGCTAGATGATTGCTCGCAGATATGGCGAGGTCCTTACAGGTGGACTAGTGGCCAGACAATCTCAGATAATGGGTCACCTGGTGAAAGTCCTTACAGGGAACTTTGTTTTAAATGACTTTGGCTCCCAGGTTGGCTCACTCAAATGGGTGTAAAGACCACATAAATTCACAGAGTGCCGATTGATCTATAAAATTCAGATCTATCCCTATATGCCCAAAATGTTTGAAAGCGTAAAAATTGGTCCTTCACTTCACTTACCTGTGTGGGTTCCGGTACCCAATTTGGGGGTTGGGGGGGGGGGGGGGGTTGAATAGACCTACTGCCCCCATGTCACAGGAAACAAGTAATCAGGGGTGATTACCTCTAAAGTTGGAATGTATTTGCCTGAGAAGCGAGGAACCAACAGTCTGCATACAAATAAGCCAGATCTGTTAAACTGATATGCATGCAAAACTTCTAAAACAAAGACCAAAGTTTAGAAGTTTCCTCCAGAGTTTATATCCGATGAAAGAAAAACAGAAGATTATTTTGTGTTCAGGCAGGAAGCGAAGAACAGTGACACTGTCACCTGACAGGCATGTCATAAAAAGGCAATTAAAGAAGATGGTAAGAGGCTGGCTACCTCGTCCCGTGGTGAACTTCAGCTGCAGAATCCAACTCAGTAGTGAGTCCACACAAACCTCAGCATGAACTGGTTGAGAGCCTTTTCTCATTTGGGGTCTGAACCGCAGAACATCTCTCTAACCTTTCTGCCCCAGTTTTACTTTTTAAAAATAGGGTCATGACTCCCATAGGAATTCATTAGAAAAAAATCCTTTAAAAACAACAATTTTATATACGACACTAATACATTTTAAAAAAAGTATGTAGACACATTTTAAAATTTTGTTTCAAAATATATGAGGACATAAAAACATTAATCAGTAGGGCATTAAATAGAACACATTCTCTGCAGCCTAAAAACTATATGCAACATGTGACCCCTGACCTCTATCACTGAGGATTAAAGGAAAATCTGATGTCTTCTGCTCTTAAAAAAAAAAAAAAAAAAAGTTTGATTTGAAGGAAAACAACCCTTAAATGCTATTCTTTGTTAATATACTCATATCTTGACCCAATAAATGTACGCGTGGGCTTGAATACAGCCAATAACATTAATTACACGTCTCGTAGTCCCGGGAAGTAGAGGCGGCCGGCGTGATGCTGACCACATCACCCATCTTGTGCCGATTGGTCTATAAAAATATAGGTCTAGCCCTATACGCCCTATACGCCTAAAGGCGTGGAAAAGGGTCCTTTGCTTTTTTTTTTTTTTTACTTACACGTCTCGTAAACAGTCCACTATAGATAATTAAGAACAGTTACATTTTCGGGAAATATGCGCTAACCGGAACTGTCGGGTTTGCAGCTTTTCTGTACAACAGGGTTAAATGGATAACCAAATATCGGAAACAAAGCTTATGTTTGAGAACATGGAAGAGAAACAACTGCAGTAAAGCGGTGGAAAGAGCCAGCTCTACAAGATGGGAAGCATAATTAAAGTAGATGTTTCAGCAAAAAAAAAATAAACAAATTCATCAGCATTAAAAAAAAAAAAAAACAAGCATATCACACACTAACATAGCAAAACAAGATATTTCCTGGAAAATGAAGGCAGCTAGCATGAACACATTTTCTACTGAGTACTTACAGGTTGAAAAATATGCATCTAGCAACCATTTTCCAATATGCCTCATAAACGTTATCCTATCTGGCACACAGAGCTGGCAGTCTATTCCTCTATTCCACTCTATCCTGGCAAATCCTTCTGATATCAAGGTTGGAATCCAGTCAAGCACAACAGGGTTCTTTCATCAAGGGTTTGTTTTAAGGTTTCTCTTCGACATACTAGTTTCTTCAGTGCTTCTATTTTCCACTCCATTGCCTGTAGTGTTTATACCTCAGCAGGAAGTGTCTTTTTGACTATTATTATTTTATTTATAAATTTATAAGAACTGACCAGGTAACCTTCACCTGGTCCTGAGATTTCTTTCCCATCGTCGGTCAACAAAGCAGGAACAATGCCAAAGAAAGGGAATGTCTGGGGAGAAAAGAAAACATGTATACAATTAGTTACCAGTTAACTAGTCTATACGATTGGCTTCTTCTTCTTCTTCAGTATTCCGACCTCTTGAGGTTCACTGCTGTAGCTATTACCCACCTCCATCCAAATTCAAGGCCTAGGTAACCAATTCATAACCCAATGAGGGTTTACAAAGATGGGGATGTCTGCCAACACTTCAACCTCCAACCTGGAGGATCTGAGTTCCTCTCTTCTATAACCCTGTGACCTGTCCAGTTTTGAAGACCCTATTTGTTTTACCAGCAGGCACAGCTTTCAGGGTTACCAAGAAACACAAGCTCCTCAACTACAGCAAGGTGGAGATATCTCTGGAGCAGAAGCATGCGAATTAAGATAACTCAGGGGCTTTGGATCAGGAAATAGAAAAAGAATGTTGAGTTAAGAATCGACATCAGAGCACCCGAGACACTACCATGTGCGCTCAGTCCCCAGCATCAGCAGCAAGCAAAGAGTTCCAATTCCAATGGTACCAGTATTCGTCTGATTGTATATCTGTCTCATCCTTGAGTGTTAAGCGTTGGTGAGAGCCTCTGGTAACTCCTCGCAGCACCATTCTCCTTCGGCCGTAATGATCTATCTGTGCCTCCGCGCTGTTTACTCGCTCCCAAAGGGCCCTCACACTATCTAACTTTGTACAGAAAGAGCTTGTATAGAGAAAAAAAAAAGATGCCAAAGGACCTGTGCACTTGTAAACTAACTGATACCATAATGAAGATTTCCAAACATAAGTATAAACACCAAAAACCATTATGAACGGCATATTCATGTGTCTAGTACCAAATCTGGACATTATCCTCATAAAATTAAACACTTATGAGGTGCCAGAGAAAAACAATCTCTTCAAAATAGAAACGGGAGAGATATTCTGAAAAGTGCGTACGGCAGAAGGGAGTCCCCATGGCGTAGCGGCAAGACGATCGTGTGCGGATCGGAAGGTCGTGGGTTCGCTCCCTGGCGGAGCCACTTTTCTTTAAAATGACGCTGACCCCCAGGTTGACCCAGCCTTGAGTGGGTTCCAGGATGCACTCCCGAGAAGTAAAGGCGCAACCGGCGTGATGCTGACCACACCATCCATCTTGTGCCGATTAGTCTATAAAAACATAGGTCTAGCCCTATATGTCTAAAGGTGTGGAAAAGGGGACCTTTACTGCACTTTTTTTTTTTTACTTACTGCAGATCCGGGTTTGGTTTTTGTTGCTCCTGGCAGAGGTGTTATCACATGACCGCCCTGTAACAGAAGAATACGACATGTCTCACACAGGATGTGCTATTTAAACAAAAGATTTTTAAGTAAAACACAGGCTGTGTGACCCTATAGATACACAACATTTCTGGCTGGAGACATGCACTTTCACTCTAGCATGCTTTACCTGCAACTCTTCAATTAGTATTCTCAAGAGAGTGGTGTGTGCTGCGCATGAAGACAGTGGACGGAGTCTCTAAGTAAGGCGGTCAAGCTGAGAAAGATCAGTTTCATGTTCACGCAAGAGCATTATCATAATCATCAAGTGAACTGTTGGCTGGCGAGGGCGATCATGCCTCTCAACAGTCTGTGACCTGTTGGTAGTCGCACCTATCCACAACCTTCTGTCTTGTGTACTTCCATCTACTCTGACACAGATGATCTTCCATGCCATGATGTCCAGCATCTGTTCTCTCAGTCTCCCTCTGCCTCTCCTCCACTCCAACTTTCTTTCTTTCATAATGTAATCCAGTTTTCTCCTTCTCATCACATGAATAAAGAATGTATGTCTCTTTCTAATGTGAACAATCAGTTTTCTTTGTGAGTCAGTTTGTTACATTACTCTTTTTATCTGTCCAGGGTATTCTCATCATCGTCTATAAAAACCACATCTCTGCAGCTTCTAAATAAGTTTTCAGTAAATTTCCTAACATGACTCATTTCCGCATTTCAATATAGCTTTTAGAAATTCTCTTTCTTGTCTCAACTGACAAAGAAATATTGCACAAAATATTCTTCATTTTGTAAAACATATTAAATTTAAAATTGTTAATTCTAATGTCAAATTAGTACTAACGTATGAAGCTGAAACAAGGAGAACAACTAAAACAATCACTAATTAACTACAAATACTCATTATGGTGCCTGCGCAGAATGGAGGGAATTAAATGGTATAAAAGAATCACTAATGTAGAACATTTAGAGAGAACTAAAAAGTACCAGTGGACCAAGAGGTGAAGACAAGACGCTGGCGTTGGATAGGATATATGTGAAAACCTAAGAACAACATAACTAGAATGTCTTTGCACGGGAACTCACAGGGCATAGAAATAAAGGCAGACAAACAAGCAAACATGTAGAAGTGAGCTAGATAGTGAAGTTAAAAGATGGGGAGGACATGGGGTAAAGTGCAATACTGAAAGAGACTTCGGGGAGTGAGTTGGCTGGGACATGAGGAGACAGAGTGCAGAAGACAAATTTAGGTTTTGTTGAACTTGGATGTGTTGGGCCGAAAGGTACAGGTTATCATAAGTAAAGTAAAGGTTTCTTTTCCACGCCTTTATGGCATATAGGACACATTGGGCTAGACCTATATTTTTATAGACCAACCGGCACAGGATGGGTGATGTGGTCAGCATCACACCAGCTGCCTTTACTTCCCAGGACTGCACCCAATCAAGGTTGGGACAACCTGGGAGTCAAGGTCATTTCTGAAAAAAGTCAGGCTCTGCCAGGGAGCAAACTCATGACCTTCCGATCTGCACGCAAGCGTCTAGCCGCTAATCCCACAAGTTATCACAGCCTAGCTGTAAATCACAACACAACGTGCCTGCTGTCCTTTTCAGGGGGAATGCAAAAGTTTCCAGTGAAAGTAAGCGGACATGAGCCAGTCAACACTTACTGTCTCTGTCTGCCAGAAAGTATCCACAATAGCACACTGACCATCTCCAACAACTTTGTGATACCAGATCCAAGCCTCCGGGTTGATTGGCTCTCCAACAGTGCCCAGAATTTTCAAGGATGACCTGTCATATCTGCAGATACAGAGAAATGTAAACACAAACTGGTATGTTTTGGTTGATTTCTTCCTTTTTCTTCTTATTCACAGATTTTTTAACTCCAGCGGAAAGTCCTAGGGTGTTCATCCACTTCTCAAATTTGGCCTTGTTCCAGGATATTGTGGTTTTTCTAGAATTTTACGTTCAGGCCAACATCATTATCAGGTGCCTTGCCCACTGGCATGGGCGAACATGCCTCTCCACAATTTGTGATCTCCTGCAGCATGTATCAGTTCATGTGCTGACACACCTCCATGCCATGCAACAAGATTGTCAAGAATCTTCTCGTCTTTCTCTATCCCTCCTTCCACAGATCTTTCCAGTGGTCACAATCATGTTCCATTTTCCACGTTCAGAGCATACAAAGGTAAAATTAACAAGCTGATATGATTGCAGGTAAGGTCAATATGGAGGGCAGAGGTCAAATGGGCTATGTTGATATACTGAATGCTCTACGAGAAGCAAGACGTTTGCGAGAATCAAGTGATAACTGAGGGCACATCCATTCCAGATATCTAGCTTATTTGTGTGTAGCCTTGCTGGTTCCTCACATGTCCAGACAAACTGACTCTTGACTTCCAAGGACAAATCAGTCCGAACTAAGTTGGCTAGGAACCAGGTGAGAACCTGTTTCAAGGATGATTGGAAGGTGGTCATACACATGTGTAGGTCTGGACCACTGCTTCTCTAAGATGCCGTACAAGGCAACTAATTAGGGAGTTTCCTACGAAGTTGGAGTGCATCTGCTTGAGAGGCAAGGAACCAACAATCTGCACACAAATAAGGATCACAATCTTCAGAGGGACTCATTTTACATCCACTGCCATACAAACGCTGCATGTCATAAGAGTAGACTAATTGGGTGCTTCCTTTGAAACCAGACTGCATCTGCCTGAGAGGCAAGGAACCAACAGTCTGCATACAAATGAGTCAGATCTGTAAAACTGATGGGGTAGTAATGAGAGTTGTAAAATTGGCACATCTTGCATTCATTGGGAGTCTAGGTAGAAACCTATGAATGTACGATGCGTTTCTTTGGGACTAAAAGAATTAAGGTTATTCTTCCCCTTGGTTTGTCTACTATATGAGTTCAGCATGGCTCTCTGTGGCCGAAGTAATCTGAACGATAAATCCCCAAATGCTCTTATGTCACAAGAGGATCAATCATCTCAGCAGTTTTTAAAATCACCTCCAGGATTTTAAAAAATCGTACTATGAGCTAAAAAAAAAAAAAAAAAAAAAATCAACATGTGTCTAAGTCTTAGTCAAGGTTTCAACTTCTCTGCAATTGGGTCACCCCAGACTCAAATGAAATGTCCCTCACTGTGTATGTAGTTAAGTGTTGTTTTTTAGCTTAGGAGATTTGTAATACAGCATGTTTTAAAACTACCCGGAGACAAGACCACCTGAATGTGAGACATCTGTGATACACGTGTAATTTGATGTTTTAAAAGCTTCCTGTTGCTCAATTAACTGTTAGCATGCTGATTGTTTTCTTTGGATCTGTCTGATTGTTTTCTTTGGATCGGTCTGATTGTTTTCTTTGGATCGGTCTGATTGTTTTCTTTGGATCGGTCTGACTGTCTTCTTTCGATCGGTCTGATTGTTTTCTTTGGATCGGTCTGATTGTTTTCTTTGGATCGGTCTGATTGTTTTCTTTGGATCGGTCTGACTGTTTTCTTTGGATCGGCCTGATTGTTTTCTTTGGATAGGTCTGATTGTTTTCTTTGGATCGGTCTGATTGTTTTCTTTGGATCGGTCTGACTGTCTTCTTTGGATCGGTCTGACTGTTTTCTTTGGATCAGTCTGCCTGTTTTCTTTGGATCGGACTGATTGTTTTCTTTGGATGTCTGATTTTTTTCTTTTGATCAGTGTCTGTTTTCTAACATTAGGCAAATAAGACCAAATTAAAACTATATGTTTGTTTACATTTTTTTTAAAATCCCATACAAGGATATTATTATTCCCAGGCTTAAATGCCAAAATTCAACAACTGACACCAAACAGTTTCTGAGTTATGGATTTTAAAAGTTGGACACGACTTTTGGAACGGACTAGCTTTCTTCCTTCCTTAGTAAGTCTTGGACTCTGTCTTAACTGGATAAGTACACTTGCAGAATGGGTTCAGATTTCTAGAATGACCATGCAGACAGGTCTCGAACACTACAAACCCTGTGACTGGTGCACTAATGATTCCCTAAATCTCCGTGACTGGTGCACTAATGATTCCCTAAATCTCCGTGACTGGTGCACTAATGATTCCTTAAATCTCCGTGACTGGTGCACTAATGATTCCCTAAATCTCCGTGACTGGGGCACTAATGATTCCCTAAATCTCCGTGACTGGTGCACTAATGATTCCCTAAATCTCCGTGACTGGTGCACTAATGATTCCCTAAATCTCCGTGACTGGTGCACTAATGATTTCCCACATTTCTGTGACTGGTGCACTAATGATTCCCTAAATCTCCGTGACTGGTGCACTAATGATTTCCCAAATTTCTGTGACTGGTGCACTAATGATTCCCTAAATCTCTGTGACTGGTGCACTAATGATTCCCCAAATCTCCACGACTGGTACACTAATGATTCCAAAAATCTCTGTGACTGGTGCACTAATGATTTCCTAAATCTCCATGACTGGTGCACTAATGATTCCCTAAATCTCCATGACTGGTGCACTAATGATTCCCTAAATCTCCGTGACTGGTGCACTAATGATTTCCCAAATTTCTGTGACTGGTGCACTAATGATTCCCTAAATCTCTGTGACTGGTGCACTAATGATTTCCCAAATCTCTGTGACTGGTGCACTAATGATTTCCCAAATTTCTGTGACTGGTGCACTAATGATTTCCCAAATCTTCGTGACTGGTGCACTAATGATTTCCCAAATTTCTGTGACTGGTGCACTAATGATTCCCTAAATCTCCGTGACTGGTGCACTAATGATTCCCCAAATCTCCACGACTGGTGCACTAATGATTCCCTAAATCTCCACGACTGGTGCACTAATGATTTCCAAAACCTCCCCTTTAACAAGAAAGACTGAGTCAACCACAGAAGTTGATGGGTCTTACAATCATAATTACCTGAGTGTATACTGAGTACCCATTCGGGGAGTGGGTTGATTATCCCCCTCAAAATGAGAGCCCGGAACCCACAGAGGGGCGCGTATTTAACACCGCTAAGGCCAAACTTTCATGACAACACAGGTCATGAGCTGACCCAGTTTCATAAAATGGATATAAGAAAGCTTTCTTGGAGAAATAGTAACTGTCATGGCAATGATAAATAAATCCTATTAAGGGTCATTAGGCCAGATACACACACACACAAAAAGAGCATGAGGTGTTATGCCGCATGGCAAGTGCGGTCACAACAAATTGTGCAGGTCAGGATTGATATTTTTACCACAACACCCTTTACTTCCATCACCTAACAAAGTACTGGAACCCGGGTCTCCCACAAAAAAGATCAGCAATCTAACCACTCGACCAGCCGCTCTTTCTAATGCTCTGAAAAAGTATGTATGTTGGGTCAGACTTACTGAGTCACAAAACTGTCATTGAACTTCATCAGGGAACGAATTGCAGTTGGAGCTGTGTAGAATTTTGTCACTTTGTATTTCTGAATCACCTGCCAGAAACGACCAGCGTCGGGATAGAATGGTGTGCCTTCAAACTGCAAAACAAAAACATAATAATAAAAAAATATTTTTTTTTAAATAAATACACACAAAAAAAAATAAAAAAAAACATATAATAGATGTGAATATGAACACCACATAGTATGTACTATGGAAGATCATCTGCATCAGAATTGATTTAAAATATGTGAGACAGAAGGCTGTGGATAGACATGACTACCAATGCCAAAAGCCTTCTTCTTTGCGTTCACCGGCTATGAATTCCAGCCGAAGGTCCTGGTTGTTCGTCCTCTGGACTTAGGCTCTGAACCAGGACCTGAGTTTTGCGTGCCTTATACATCCATTTTACAGACTTATCTGTATGCAGTTCTTGTTCCCTGCCTCTCAGGCAATGTACTCCGACTTCAAAGGAAGATGTAAACGGACCCTATCTCTAGGATGACTAGCCATTGTTTCGTGGGGCATGATGTCACCTCATTTGTGTGGTGTCCCTTTTGTCCCTTTATCTATAGGTGTTGCCCCTGGAGAACCCATTTAAGGCAACTGCATGCAGACTGGCCAGCTCTCGAGGGAAGACGGACAGATCAAGGGCATTCCCCGCCATCCAAGGAGGCTTCCATAATTGCAAAGCTAACACATGATGCTCTGTCCTGGGCTCACCCAAGACATCATCACATCCTGCACATGACTGCCTAACATCACAACCCTATGTTGAGTTTTCCACTCGTCACCAGCTGCGCCCTTTGTGAGATCAACAGCAGTCAGCAGCCCGCAGATCCAAGATTCTGATGACCACATAAATTTGTTGCCCTGGGGAAGTAAAGATGGCCGGCGTAATGCTGACCACATTACCCAACGACTGCCGATTGGTCTGTAAATATATGGGTGCTCTTCCTATACGCCTGATGCGCCTAAAGGGATCTTTTTTTTTTTTTTTTTACATAAATGGGTACGTTCTTTTTCATCATGTTAGACACCTTTAATGTTGCTTCAGCTGTGCGTTTAGCACGACAGTATAGAGAGGCTTGCAACAGGCATGGCTTCACCCGTCTGGTCCAAAAACTCAGCGAGTGGGGCCAATGGTAACAAACATTTTTCAGTAGGATTTTTGACAGTTGGACCTTTGAACTTCCCTCGTGTGACGCAGGACGTGTATTAGTTGGACATTTGAGCCTAACCAGCAGTCTGACATTGGTTGTCCTAGTGACGTCAGATCTCTCAGTGCAATGCAGTGACGTCAGTGTTGGGAGTTGACACAGAATGATAGGAGACAGGATTTTACCACGAGAAACCGCCCACAGGAGATGTAGCTCATTAAGGCTGTAAGCCCTCTTTGTCTAAGCTAAGTCTCAGCAGCTCAGTTGTTCTCTAACTCCACAGACTTTTGATCAAGAGCCGTCATTTAGCGATACATTCAGCAAGCGGGTTTTGCTCAGATTGCAAATGAGTTTTGTGATAGACATTTCCACCTATGTACTGGGGGGGTGGGCTGATAACAAGACTGGACCCCACATCTGTGGTAGCAACCCGCTCGGAGATCCCCTGCCAGCTTTGTTAATGATCATTTAAGACAGTATCCATGGTGCACTACGGGAACATGCAGCAGGAGTCTTGCGTAAGGTTTTGCAAAACCAGCACAAAGAAATGACTTTGGCTGCCAGGTCATCCCCACCCCTAAATGGGTACTAGGTAAAGTCCTAGGAAGTAAAGGCGACTAGCATTTCACATCACCCACCAAGTGCCAATTGGTCAATAAAAAAAGGTCTAGAGTTCTATGTGCCCAATACCTTAAAGGTACTTTACTTTACTAGTAGGTATGGATTCTTACCACGGCAGGACATTTTTAACAATGACCTGGGCTCTGAGATGGGCTAAACCTAAAATGAGCATTAGGAAATGTTCTGGGCAGCAAAGAGGTTTTGAACAACAAATCAACATCATGGCACACGGGTAGTAAACCATGAGTGCTCTGTTATTCTTCTAACTCAAGCCTGAGTCTGAAGAAATCTCAGTGCAGTGCGCGAACTCTGTTGCACCAGCGAGGATCCTGAAATACTTTGGGTGATTATTTAATTCCAAATTTTGCCCAGGCAGCGCCATTAAGCCACTCTTTTCGATTTCCAACTGCCACTGGTTTTTTACGTGCGCAACAATGCACACGGACGTCCGATCTCACTAACCATAGACGGGGGGGGGGGGGGGGGGTCCGTTCTCCCTGCAACCAATATTCAGTCAAGAATGCCATTTGAAATTTGTGGTGTGACGCATGCTTGGTTTCCATTGCAATGCCAACTGACCAAACCAGCAACCTTTCTAACTGCATGTCAAGAGCATGTCTTGTTTCACACGTTAAGTATTCTGTGATGCCTGTCCACATGGAAAAAGTTCTGAATCCCCAATCTTAAATTTACTGTACATATGACAGCAGAGTCTGATGTGTCTAGCATGCAATCTAAATATAATGGTCCATTTCTTGCAAACAGAAGGTTGACTGTGTCTTCAAGATTATGTTGTGGATGGGAAGTGTTCCAATGGATTCTAAGCAAAACATATTCCCACTATAACCCCAACAATGGCAGAGGAATCTTCGCCTTCTACATTCTAGCTCAAAAGGGTGGCTGGCACATTGTGTTGTGGTTTACAGCTAGGCTGCAATATCTGCACCTTCTGGCTTAACACATCAGATTTCAGCACGCCTCTAATTAGTCATCTACATCATATTTTAGGAACGGCTGGCCGAGCAGTTATAACATTTGGCTCTCATGGGGAAGACATGAGTTTACCTGCTGTGAGGCGATGTAGTTATTCAGTCGGAGGCAAATTAAACATATTAAACCTGCACAGTTCATGGCGACAGCACTAGCCAGGCGGCCCTAAATCCCCAGGCTCATGACCCGTCTATACAGCCCTAAAAAGTGGTAAAACAGACACTAGTGACAGTTTTTTTTTTATACAACATATTTGTTTGGGGTGAGGGAGAAATGTGGCTTTGGAATGCGTAAGAGATTTGACAGAATTCACAACCAACATACTCTACACTAATCAAACACACACACAAACTCACTATAATCCCAGTAACGCCATTGCTCAGAGGGCCATAGCACACGTATGTATGGCCAGTGATCCAGCCCACATCAGCTGTGCACCAATACACATCATCCGGATGGAGGTCAAACACGTATTTGGAGGTAGCAGCCGCGTACAACATGTAGCCTGCTGTTGTGTGCAAGACACCCTTTGGCTTACCAGTGGAACCACTAGAGAAAAAATATAATAAGCAGAGAGCTCTAATCTTTCTTTCTTTCTTTATTACATGATTTCAACATACCTATTCTGGCAACAACATGAATATATGCAATGAAAGCAGTGGCCAGCTTGGCAAAAGCATTTACATCATGATCCAGTGTTTGGCAGCTGGCGCAGTGGTTGATACATTTTCACAGAACTCGGTCTCTGGTGTTCTAGATCAATTCCACTGATTATACTCTTCCTTGCCACTGTCTTAAGCCATCTGTCATCATTTCTCTTGGTCTGCTGCTGCCAGTGATCTTTCCAGTCGTCATGACATTTTCCAGTGCTCCCTTTCTTATCACATGACCAAAGAACTTTCCATCTCATTGCTGTATTTCATGTTCTACTTTCATTAGCCATTTCCAAGCAATCATTGTTAGTTATTCTGGCAGTCCGAGGTATTCGCAACATTCTTCTCAAGAACCACATCTCAGTTGTCTCAAACTCTTCTTAATTTGTTTGCTCACATTCCAAGATTCACTGCCCTACAACAACAACATTTACATAACCATGCATAACTCTTCTACTTCTTCATGTTTACCGGCTTGTAAACTTTCAATGAAAGTTTTGGTGGAAAGTCCACTTCTGGACTTTGGTCTTATTCCTGAACTCGAGTTTTGCGTGCAGGTCCACTTTAGAGATCTGACCTGTTTAGATGCAGACTGTTGGTTCATATCTCTCAGGCAGATGCACTCTGACTTTGAATGAAACTATGTGAAACACAAGGAGACTTTGGGTTTTCTCTCTCTCTCTCATACACAAAGGCTTACAATCAAGAATGTGACCTCGCCTAGTGTACAACATAAACAGTGGGTTCTCTCTCTTTCTCTCAAACAGTGCATAATTTCTCCCCTCTCTCGCTTGAAACAGTGAATCATCTCTCTCTCACACACACAGAGGAAGTCTGTCACCTCACCTTGTGTACAACATAAACAGTGGGTTTTCTCTCTCTTTTGAAACAGTGCATCATATCTCTCTCTCTCTCTCAAAACTGTGCATCATCTCTCTCTCTCTCTCTCTCTCACAAACACACACAGGGTTAGAATCAAGTCTGTCACCTCACCTTGTGCACGACATAAACAATGGGTTCTCTCTCTCTCAAAACAGTACATCATCTCTCTCTCTCTCTCACAAACACAGAGGATTAACACCAAGACTGTCACCTCACCTTGTGTACAACATAAACTCACCTTGTGCACAACATAAACTCACCTTTGTACAACATAAACTCACCTTGTGCACAACATAAACTCACCTTGTGCACAACATAAACTCACCTTGTGTACAACATAAACTCACCTTGTGCACAACATAAACTCACCTTGTGTACAACATAAAATCACCTTGTGTACAACATAAACTCACCTTGTGCACAACATAAACTCACCTTATGTACAACATAAACTCACCTTGTGTACAACATAAACTCACCTTGTGTACAACATAAACAGTGGGTCTTCAGCATCCAGCCATTCTGGAGCACAAACTGTCTCTGCACTCTGCATCAGATCATGCCACCAAACATCTCGACCCTTAGACCAGTTGATCTGCAGTGGAAAGAATCATATTTGTTTCAGGCATGATCAAATTATTCCTTTCAGACAATTAAAATACAAAACAGTCAGGCAGGCAACTCTAAGATACCTTCAGCACTCACCAGTGCCCGTAATCAATTAACAACTAACCATCACTGAAGTGTGAAGTTTGAGGTTTTGAACAACGGATCAACATCATGGGTAGTAACCCATAAGTGCTCCGTTCTTCTTTTAACTCGAGTCCAAAGCTCAGCACAGTGCAGTGGCTCTGTAGCACCGGAGAGGATCCTGAAATACTTTGAGGAGATTTGTAACTCCAAATTTTGCCTGGGCAGTGCCGTTAGGCTACTCTTTTTGTTTTCCAACTGCCAAGAAATCTTTTACATATGCAACAATGCACATGGCGTCCAATCTCCCTACCCAGAGACCAGAGGAAATTACTAGAAGTAAGTCCAATCTTACTACCCAGAGACCAGAAGAAATTACTAGAAGTAAGTCCAATCTCACTACCCAGAGACCAGTGGGAATTACTAGAAGTCCAAATCCACGTGAAAAAATCTCAGCCCTTACCAGGGTTTAAACCCGGAACCTCTAGCACTCGTGGCAGACACCATGCCTCGAGATCATGCAGCCCCCCTCAAATAACCAACATTAGGATAGGTAAGAAAGCAACAACAATGAGCAGATTAACAAAAACAGTTTGGGAGAATGGAAAGCTCACAATTAAAACAACAAATTAAATGAAAACTATCAGGCTTGTGGTATCTCATCACTCTTCTTGATAGTAGTGACACTTGGTCAACTGATTCTCACTAAGAGAAACCGCTGAATAGCTTGCACCTGTGATGCCTAAGAAGAATACTCTGTATTGAGTTTCGAGACAAGATCACAAACAGTGATTTACTGGAAAGACCAGGCACTAAAATGGTTTTCTCCATGCTGTCTATGAAGGCTCGTGTAGCAATGTCACACCAGGAGAATGGGACAGTCCCTAAGGAAATCCTGTACAGTGAATTGCAGATGATAGAAGATGTCGAGGATGACCTTTACGGTGACATAAAGATGTGTGCAAGCAGGACATAAATGATACAGGTACTGAGGTGGATCTGTGGGAACAAAAAGCTATGGACTGTGTTGCGCGCTGAAAGGGAAAAATCCGGAAGAAATGATTGCAGATAGATGAGAGCTGACCGTCTGAGAAAAAATACACTGATATCAAATGATGACAACAATGATCCTGAGATCCCATGCTGTAATTGTGGAAGACTTTTCTTAACGTATGCAGGTCTTGTTACTTAAACTCGCCATCCATGCCTCTTCATTGCATAATATAACATTATCTTCTTCTCCTTTGCGTTCACCAGCTGTAAACTCTGGTGGAAAGTTCTGGTTGTCCGTCCACTTCCAGACTGCAGTCCTGTTCCAGTACCTGTGTGTTGCTTGTGCATCTGTTTGACAGATCTGACTCATTTGTGTGCAGACTGTTGGTTCCTTGCCTCTCAGGCAGATGCACTCCGACTTCGAAGGAAGCTCCCAATTAGTCGACTCTTACTACATACTTTTGGGTAGGCAGTGGGTCTATTCTTGTTTTTCCTATAACAGGGCCCTGGAACCCACACGGGGGATAAAATTATTATCTGCAAAGAAGGAAAGGTGTAAACAACATATATCCTTTTTCTTTTATGCGGGCACCAGCTGTAAACTCCAGGGGTGAGTTTCTGGTTGCCCACTTTGACCTTGTTTCGGGATTTAAGTCGTGCCTCCCCATTATCCTAACTGTTGCTATTGCAACCATCCCATCCTTTGCTATATCATGCAACTGACACCACAGTGTCCCTATCCTTTTAATTTCCCTCTCTCGAAGCAATACCATGCATAACTCTTCTATTTCTTCATGTTCAACAGCTGTAAACGTCCAATGAAAAGTCCACTTCTGTGTTGTTCCCTGAATTGGTTTTGCACGCAGGTCCACTTTAGAGATCTGACCTGTTTAGATGCAAACTTGGTATTGTGTGCACATTGCCCCTATCCTTTTAACCTCGCTCATTAGCTCATATCTCTGTGTGTGTGTGTGTTTTTTTTTTTTTTTGGGGGGGGGGGGGTCTACCTTTATTTATATGCCCCCAAGGGTTCAATTGTAAAGACATTCTAGCTACACTTATTGTGTAAAAGCACAGCACTCACAAATATGCAAAGTACATAACTGATAACAGAAATTAAAAAGCACATAACAGAGTAACAATAAAAAGTACACAATAACCGATAGTGTACATGCCAACTTATTATGACAAATACTATTTTTACTGGTTTATGTACAAACTATTGTATGTTATTTCTGTTGTTGCAGTAGTATGTAAACTAATACCTTTAATTTTCCACATGGTCTCTTAGCCACTGGACCATCTTCACCATCCTCTATTCCATTGGAGTGAGATATGTAGGTGACGATTTCCTCAGCCGGAGAGAGATGCCGAACCACGACACATATCTCTACAGGCTTGCCCCTGAAATCATTCATAAGAAAAAACACGATATAACCTTTGCTTGTCCTGGCAAAACAGAAAGGCTGTTAGGCAGTGACATCACAGTACTCAGGACCTTTCTGTAAGTGCTCAGTCTTCATCTGCAGCAGCCAGGACATAGTTCCAATATGGATAGTACTTATGGATAGTCGCTCCTCTTCTACCTTGGGGTGTAGAGGTTTGCCAGAGAGATCGCCAGACGTCTCTATCAGCAGTTTTCTTTCTGGCTTTGTTCCATTCCAGTCCTCTGTCAGTTAGGGACTGTCGGATGTTGTCTTCCCAGCGCACCCTGGGTCGTCCTGGAGGTCTGGTTCCCTGGTTCTTAGTCTCCCATGGTGGCCGATTTTCTCCCATTCTGCATACATGTCCAAACCATCGTAACTGTGACTGATCCACTCGGGTTTCCCATATGGATAGTGCCAGAGGAAATTTGATTTTACATCCATCATGCTTTTCCTCTGAGGGTTCAATGTCAGCCATATCCCTGTGTCACTTCCAGCCGCCCCATTCTTTCCAGATATGATGATCTATTTGCTAATCCTTGCTGCTGACCTGCTCCTAAAGAAGTGAAGGTCAGAGTCCTAAATCAAACTTAAAAATAAATCTTTTATAGCATAGGGCACACGGTCTAACCCCTATGCCACATGACTGAACATACTGTACAATCAGTATTTGTGGAGATGGCACCTAGCTGACTGATGAGTATACAAGTGACTATAGACAAATTCTTAGAACATCATGGACCACAAGAAGAAAACACTGACGTTCTACAGGATTTGAGCACCTAAGAAAACGGATCCTGTTACGAAAGCTTAGAAACTTTGGACATGTTAACCGTAATAGTGGCCTAGAGACAACAGTGATGAAGGGTGCGGTTCCTGGAAAACAGGGCAGAGGTGCACCTTTGTGAAGATGGACACGATATTGAAGATGCAGTGACTACAAATGTACATGCGGTTGGAGAACTGGTTAGAGAAAGAGGGACTTTCAGGTATACTGTGACAAGAGTGGTGTTCTGCTGAGGACCTGCTGACTGATGATGACACAAATGACTGATAACAGGAGAGTGGCACTGTGGAAGAGATTAGGGCTTCCCCATGCAACATTGCCAAAGACAGCAGTAGGTAGCAAATCCTTCAATAAGGAGATGACAAATAACTTGTCTAGATGACTAATGCAGCCATTCCTGGTAGGGTACAAAGAGCTAATGACATCATATTCTTTTTTCTTAGCACTGCACGGCTGTAAACTCCAGCAGAAAGTTCTGGAACTTATATGCATACACCAGACCTTTGCATGAAATGATATATTATTTTCAAGAGACCACAGAAACTACTATCTGAACAATGATTTAAGAAAAGCATATCTGTTTTATAGGTCCGGCATGGTTTTATTTTTTCAATTTGTTGGTTCCTCACCTCTCGGACTTATGCATAACGACTTCACAGGAAACTGATTACTGATTTGAGAATTGACATCACAGCACACCGGGCATACCCATAGATGCTCCGTATCCCACAGCAAATGACGTAAGGTGTAGATGCTAACTGTTCCCGTAGCACACTGATTATACACATGCCGATCTCTTCCTCTCCTCCTTGCTGGATTAAAAAATAATTCCTCGTTCACACATTCTTGACCACGTTATTTCATTTCATCTCGTGTCTTCTGCCAAATGTCGTTCATATATGGTCTTCAGAATATCTCCCTTGTCCAATATAAGTGTTCCCGTAGCTTTTGTAGCCAGAAAATCCGCTCTTTCATTCCCTCGCACTCCTGCTTTTCCTGGACAGTATATCCGCGTGATTTCCTGCAATGTTGGCATATTGATGCATGGTATCCACTTATGTCACATTAGTCCATTTTGAACCTTCCGCAATGCCGACTGAAAGGAAACATCCCTAATTAGCTCTGGTTACACCATGCTTGTTAGGAAGCAGGTGACTTCCTTCACCCTCCCACAAAAGGGCCCCGTAAACCCACACACGAAAAGCACATAGTATTACAGCTCACAGAGACACACATCGAAATGAAGAGACGAGAAAGATTACAACTGCTGGCTCACTTACTTCTCCTTGCAGATTCCCAGTGCCTTGTCTACAATAGACTTCAGATTCAGCAACTTGGACCCTCTCCAAACTCCATCTGCAGAAATATACCATAGTGTACAGCACTCTCATCCAGTATAACACAAGTTCAGTTTGTTGCATATCATTTACAGGACACAAGCTTTTTTAGCTGTCTGGCTTTAATAGGCAATGTTCACATCATTCAGTAGTTTGCCACTACCTTTTAATCTCCTCCGTTTTACATTCTAAGCAACAGCATATAAGGTGGGAATGCATATTCTTCGTTATATTTAATTCTTCAGGATGTTCACATCATTCAGTAGTTTGCCACTACCTTTTAATCTCCTCCGTTTTACATTCTAAGCAACAGCATATAAGGTGGGAATGCATATTCTTCGTTATATTTAATTCTTCAGGATGTTCACATCATTCAGTAGTTTGCCACTACCTTTTAATCTCCTCCGTTTTACATTCTAAGCAACAGCATATAAGGTGGGAATGCGTATTCTTCGTTATATTTAATTCTTCAGGGTATCCAGGGCAAAGTGGTCACGCTGTTTGCCTCATGCCCTGAAGGTCATGGGTTCATTGCGTCGTTTGGTTCACGGGTATCATTTTTGAATTATTTTTTTTCCTTGATCCACGGTAATCATTGTTGTGCTTTGTGCAATGCTACTGGCAGGTGGCTAGCCATTCTGCCGACAGAGGCCAAGGAAAAAATATTCAAGGCACAACGAAGTCGATCCTCTTAACCTCAACCTTTATTTTTTAGAGGATTTGCACAAAATTCTGGAAACTATACGTAACCACTTTGATGGGTTGATCCCAGAATGGTTGAATGTCCTGTTGTGCCCTTATATGTCATTCAGGGCTCACAGTCTGGTTCTCCACATCATTCTATCCGGTGCAATCACTCTGTTGGAAAGCTCTAGCTGTTTGGCCACTTCTGAAATTTGGTCTTGTTCCAGAATTTGAGTCTGGTGTGCACATCCATTCTACAGATCTCGCTTATTTGTATGCAGACTGCTGGCTCCTTAATAACCTTTTGTGATATGCGTTGGGGGAAGAAGGGTCTGTTTTCTTTTTTTTTTTTTTTCACTCCCCTAAACTGGGGCCCTAGAATCCCCCACGGTGAAAGCCCACAAACAGTAACCACCAACAAGGTTCATCCTTACCGGCAGTTACAATAGCTTTACAGTTTGCATCCAGTATCCGATCGCTCAGTGACTCCGCAGAAAATCCTGCAAACTTGAATATGAAGAACAAAAAAAAACTGTAAATCGTCCGTCTCAAAAACAATGCTTATCTTCTTCTTCTTGTTCACCGGCTGTGAATTCCGGCGGTAAGCCGCGGTTGTTCGTCCAAATGGACTTTTGGCTTTTACCTCGACCTGAGTTTTGCGTGTACATCCGTTTTACTGTCTTATTTGTTTGCAGTCCTCGTTCCCTGCCTCACCGGCAGATGTACTCCGACTTCGAGGGAAGACGTCACGCCTATTTCTAGGTTGACTGTGGCCATGAAAAAAAAAAATGCTTATAAAGTACACGGTTTAGTTCTGCAGAACGGATTAGGTGCGGTGGACAAACATGCATAAACACTGCCTAATGGTCTAATTTATCTTTTTCGTAAATCAAACTGTTAACAGTGCCTCCCACCTGTGATATTCTCCAACTGCTAAAGTGAGTCAAACATTTAAATGGAGAGATATCACGATACGATCTTGATAATTTTAAAAGGTAGTCCCATAACATACTACAATCGGTTTGTGAAGTGTTAAAATACCACATCGGCGGTTGTCCAAACAATCACGTTTGTTCATTGCCTTTCGTGAATTCATCCACTAAATGTTCATCAGTTTCTGTAAGCACGCACCCATCGAGCCCTCATATGTAAGACCAAGAGAGACTCTGTGCAGAAACATCATCAGGGAAGACACAACCATGGGCCTAGGAGACATCCAACACCTAAAGCAGGTGGCAACAAACTGCCAGACATGGAGAGCTATGACCTCTGACCTATGCGCCACCCTAGGCCTAAGAGGAAAGACTAACCAACTTTACACACACACACAAAGACAAATCTGTTAAATGTATGCTAACACATTTTGCCGTAATTCATTGAGACTGAACAGACCAGGATTTTCTACCCAGTCTACAGTAAATATCTCATAGACAAGCAATAACATCATCAGACAATACATGTATGCCCAGCTGTCATCCACTGAAACATACTACTCAAGATAAGAAAAACTAAAAGGAATAAAATTATGTCATAACTCTGACAATCAAAATCTTTGTAATTCCAAGAGTGAAACTTTAAATTACATTCAAAAATACCTTAGGGTTCAACCAATCATTTGACAGTTCTTTTGCGACTGGGTTATCAAAAGTTTTTTTTAGCTAATTTAAATGCTCCATTGGATAACCAAGCGTTTCGTTTTTGTTTTTAACAGTATATAACTATGTTACTTACAACAATGGAGTGTACAGCTCCGATCCGAGCACAAGCAAGCAAGGAAACTACCAGTTCTACAATCATCGGCATGTAGAGGGCCACCCGATCACCTTTTCTTACACCTGAAATAAAATATCTCACTGAGTTAAATTTTGACACATGAAGTATATAGCACAGCTAAAAGAGTTGGCTACAACTTGTACTCTTTATCCATCCTATGTGGACACGACGTTTCTGTTCCTTTTAAGAATAATAATTTAGTTGAAATGGTTTCTCGAAACGTGGATGTCAGCAAACAGTATTATATCACAGCAAGCAATTATGTACAGACCAGGTGGGAAGTGAATAGCACGCAAATCGTGGACAGAGGGAATAACAGACTTCCTGGGAATTCCCATTTACAAAGCACACAAACGAGCACTTTCCCGTAGATTATACTTTACCTCGACACTGCAAGGTATCAGAGGATCAATATAAGACAGATAGAGAAATAATTTAGGTATGAATTTATCTGTAAGGATCAGAAAGTTAATTTGTTTGTTTTTTAAATCTAGAACCAAATATGTCAGTGGTGTCGTCTCGCAATGAAGCATGCATATGTCTTTTCAACTCATAAGTACAGTGCTGTTCTTAGTAGACTTTCTGTTGGCACCTTTCCTTACAGTAGTGTTCCACTGAGGAGTGGCTGGCTGAAAGGTTAGGAGCACTGAAATCTCATGCAAGATTTCAAACCCTATCAAGTGACCCAGACACTCAAACTGCAATCAGCATTCAAGACAGATGGAACCAGATCAAAGAAACATACAAATCATAGGAACCAGGAAACAACACCACAAAGAATGGATAAGCAGTCAAACCATGGACTATATTGCCAAGCGAAAAAGAATAAAGAGCCTCATAAATCACACTAAATCAGAACGTCAGAAAGACAAACTAATGTTAGAATATAGCGAACTAAATAAAATGACAAAGAAAAGTGCCAGAGCTGACAAAAGAAGATTTATGGAAAATCTAGCAGAAACAGCAGAAAATGCTGCTACAGCACATTATCTACAAACCCTACACAAAATTACCCAGCAAATTTGCGGAAGCAGAAACAATTATCACAGCATACCCATCAGAGATAACCAAGGCAGACTGCTCACCACAGAACAAAAACAAGACATGCAGTGAACTAAACACTTCTCCGACCTCTTGAACAGACCTGATCCTGAAAATCCACCAGATATTCAACCAGCCTCTCAGGACATTGACATTATTACTGAACCACCAAGCAAACAAGAAGTCCTTAAAGCTATACACACTTTAAAGAACAAAAAAGCACCAGGCAAAGACGAACTGTCTGCAGAACTTCTCAAAATAGATCCCAACACAACTGCTAGCATTCTAGAACCATTGTTCAAGGATATTTGGGAAAAAGAAGTGTTGCCTGATGACTGGACCGAAGGAACAATAGTCAAAATCCCCAAAAAAAGGAGACTTAACAGACTGCAATAATTGGAGGGGAATTGCTCTACTCACAGTACCAAGCAAAATATTTTGTAAAATCATCATAATGAGGCTTGAAAAAAGAGTAGATAAATGCCTACGAGTAGAACAAGCAGGATTCAGAAAGGGCAGAGGAACAACTGAGCACATCTTCGCCTTACGTAACATTTTAGAACAATGCAATAAATGGCAGAGTAGTATATATATTAATTTTGTGGACTTTGAGAAAGCTTTCGACAGCGTACATAGAGACAGTATATGGAAAATTTTAGGACATTATGGAATTCCAGAAAAAATAGTCAACATAATTGCTCTCTTCTATAAAGATTTTTCCTGCAGTATACAAAATTACAATACATCTTTCCCAGTAAAGACAGGTGTAAGACAGGGATGTGTTGTGTCATCTCTCCTCTTCAACCTTGTGACTGATTGGATGCTAAAGAACACAGTAGACAAGACACCGAGAGGCATACGATGGACTCCATTCACCATGCTTGAGAACCTTGATTTTGCAGATGATATAGCACTCCTACCACATAAACATATACAAGAAAAAAGTAACAGACTACACAGAACAGCAGAAATGAGAATTTATTGAGAATAAATACAAAGAAAACTAAAATCATGACAAACAGTCCAAGCCAACAACCAGTGACCATAAATAACCAAACTCTTGAAAATGTAGAGCATTTCACATATCTTGGCAGAGTGGTGTCCCTGTCGGGAGGGACCAAAGAGGACATACAGTCACATCTGAACAAAGCTAGAGATGCTTTTGGAAGGATGAGGCAAATCTGGAAATCCAACAATTACTGCAGAGGAACGAAACTCCGACTCTACAAGAGCATCATTTTGCCAGTTCTTCTTTATGGAGCGGAATGCTGGAGAATGACCAAAAAGGATGCACTAAGCTGTCCACCTTCCACCACACATGTCTACGTAGAATTATCAAAATTTTCTGGCCAGGTACAATCTCAAACACTAAACTACTTCAAGTCACAAACCAAGAAACTTTAGACAATATGATAATCAAGAGAAGATGGAAATGGCTTGGCTACGTTATGAGAATGAATCCTGACAGATATACCTGCCAAAACAGCTCTCACATGGACACCAGAGGGAAAGAGAAAACAGGGGCGCCCAAAAACAACATGGAGAAGAACGATGGAAAGTGACCTGAGTGCGGCATCTTTGACATGGAAAACTGCACTGAAGATTGCACAGGACAGGAAAGCATGGAATGTCCTCTCTGAAGCCTCATGCCACTAGGCACAACGAGAACTGATGATGATGATGCTGATGAAATCTCATGCAGGAGACCCAGGTTCAAACCGCAGTGGAAAGATTCTGGATTTGTTTCTGTCAGGACAAAATCCTAACCTGCACAGACTGTGGCGACAGTACCAACCATGCGGCCTTAAATCTTCAAGCTCAAAGGGCCCCCACCAACCCCCTCCCTCACCATAAGTGGTACACACTGGCACTAATGCAGTGCTTGTGTGTGTGACAGCACTCCTTTGTGCTTGAAGCGGCTCAGTGATCACAGCCAATGGTCATGGAGAGTGAATCTAGCAAGATCTGTTCATGTTAAGTATCTTTCACAATAAGTGCATGAGATTTCAGAGGACCACTGTTGACCTCTTGTACCTATTCCTTTTGCCTTCTATGCAATACCGACCATGACATCCTGTACCTGTATTATTTACGTCTTGCTTGCACACATCTATAAATCATAGCAGAAGCTGACCTTAACACGTTCTACACATGTGTAATTCACCAAAGATGATGAAGACTTGCTGACTAGTTGGGTTTTGTACCTAGTTTTTGGCACTGTTCACGATTCTGCCCGCAAGGCAAGAGTTCCTTCCCTCCCATTCATGCTGTGGCAGGTCGCACAGACTGTCCTATGTTGTGGCCAGGAGGGGAGGTTGTTATGAGATAGCTTTGTTTGGAATTCCCTCACTGTGTATAATATTTGTGGGAGGTTGTGTTTTCATGAGTCTCTTTGAGGCACTGCAAGCGCCTGTGTACAAGTAAGAAGTACTGCAGGGAGGAGTGCCAAAGGCACAACTTTTCATGAGTATCGAAACAGGGATGTTTTTTATATTTCTAAGTTCCTTGGTGGTGGCTTCCCCAGAGAAAAAAAAAGCCACTGACAAGGAATGCAGAAATACAAAAACACCACAGTTTTGATACTTACAACCGCCTGGCAAGTAGCACAATGTGGACATATTCAAGTAAGCGGTGACAACATAAGAAAAGAGACAACGGTTAAACTGTTGAAAATAAGAAACACATGACGCCCCTACAACATAGGCTCTGCGACCCGCCATAGTTTGAATGAGAGGGGAAGGAAATCTGGCCGTGCTAGCAGAATTGTGAATAGAAAAACAGTTTTCTATAAGATTAGGTTCGTACTAATAGTTTTCTATGAACTAAAGTTTGTAGCTATGAGTTTTCTATGAACTAAAGTTTGTAGCTATGAGTTTTCTATGAACTAAAGTTTGTAGCTATGAGTTTTCTATGAACTAAAGTTTGTAGCTATGAGTTTTCTATGAACTAAAGTTTGTAGCTATGAGTTTTCTATGAACTAAAGTTTGTAGCTATGAGTTTTCTATGAGACAAATTTTGCAGCCAAGAGTTTTCTATAAGACGAAGTTTGTAACTAAGAGTTTTCTTGAAGATGACATTAGTAGTTAAAGGTTTTCCACAAGATGAAGTTTGTAGCTAAAAGTATTTTTTTTCAGATAAAGTATGTAGTAAAACTTGTATTTTTCAGAAAGTGGTACAAGAGTCTCACCACAGAAGTAGACTGGGGTCTCAATGTAAAATAACACAACAATGGCACCCTGTAGTCAACCTTTACTGTGGAGACAGCACATCATTTCTTTTTAAATAAGCTCTCTATTAATGCAGCTGAACAAACACAGCGAAATATTCTAGGTACTACACTTCATTATTTGAAAAATGGTAATCTATCAAACCAACCTCTTGTGCCTCCCTACGATAGATACAAATTGTTCAAAACTTACCCAAGCCTTTCAACACATTGGAAAACTTGCAGACTTGTTCTAGTAATTGGCGGTAAGTGATCTCACCATGATCCCCTGGATCGTTTCCTTCCCTTTAAACAAAGAATATATACATGAAGATAGCATATCAGTCTCGTTTTAGATGTGTTATTTTCTCCGTTTTATGTCTATATAGACAAATAGGTCACTTTTCATAAAACAAAAACAAATACAAAAGTTTTGACGAGACTGAGAAGGAAAAAAAGAGCTGGGAAAGAAAAAAAGACAGAAAGGAGTTATATTTTGGTTACATTAAAACATGGTTTATTCAACGGGTCGGCATCATGAAACACAGGTGCAACCCACAAGTGCTCCTCCGTTCTACTTCTAATGGGAGCCTGAGTCTGAAGAATCTCAGCGCTGTGCATGAAATCCGTTGCACCAACTAAGTCAAGCTATCTGTAGGCTTGTTTATATCTGGTAGCTGCCCGGCTCTCTAGTGTAGTTGGCTAAACCGGACTGCACGGTGACCGGGTGACGAACTCATTGTGGTCCGGGTTCACTCCCAGGGGTAGGCAGAAAAGCCACATTTCTCCCAGATTTACGGTATTTACAATGGAATCAAGGCCGAAAGGTTGTGATATCTATAATACTGTGGTTAACAACTCATGGCTTTTGGATACTAAAACAAACAAACAAACATATCTGGTAGCTAGATTCTGCAGATAAAACTTTTTTTTTTTAAATAGGACAAGATATCTAGTTAGACTGGTATGGGAAATAAACGGATTGAGGAAACGAAAATGTCCAAGCGAAACCCCGAAAGAACATCATTAATCACCTCTTAACTCTTTCTGTGCGAACAAAAGTACAGTATGTGATCAGCTGGAATCAGTGTGTATCAAACAAATGATGTGTAATTGTACACTTCACATATGACTTGGGCATGATAACAAAAGAAGTCAGAAAAAGACTTGCTGTAGCAATTTAGAGGCTAAACAGATTTTTAAAAACGTACAGCACCTGCAAGCGTGTTAAAGTAACACATTTTAGATTATGCATCTTTCCCATGGCAATTTATGGTTGTGAGACAGGGACACTCTTTCTGTCTTTGAAGATAAAAATCTGAGCTTTTCAATGGAAATGCTATAGCAAAATTCTTAAAATACTGTGGGCCAAGATGAAGAAAGACGTCAACATCCTACATGACATGAAGGAGATCTGGCTCATAAACAGCATTCTCTCCAGAAAGCTGAGGTATTTTAGACATGTCAAGTGCCATGTTGATCTATCTGGAGAGAACGGTGATGGGGATGTGCAGTTTCTGGAAAATGGGGCAGAGATCGAACTTCACGAAGGTGGATACAGGACAGTGAAGATGCACTGGGAGATAGGACTGCAGAAATAGCTAAAGAAAGAGACTTTCAGGGGTGGTGTGAAGAGAGTGACTACTGAGCATGATAAAAAAGTTTGGCTAGATATGCCAAGTGCAGTGTAGTACATGTTGTTTCTTCCAAAGTAAGACACACATGCTCTTTTCATTGCATATTTTTTCTCCTAAAATATTTAAACCAAAATCTGGTAAATGCAAGGTAGGTTAATGTTACTATTCTCTGCGCTATACATATATATATATATATATATATAGGCCCTAGTTACACAAGCAAGAGGGGGGGGGGAAGAGGCTGATGGTCTAAGGAAACTTGGAGAAGGACAGCAGAAAGGAAAATGGAGGAATGTAAACTAATATGGATTTTACAGGGGCACAAAGGTAAAAAAATTCAGGCAGACCCAAAAACACACTGAGACTGGAGCTAAAAAGTGCTAGAGAGTGAAGTTACAAGGAGAGAGAAGACATAGGGTGACATGCATGTGACCTAAAATGATAGGATGAATTGGCATAAGTTGGTTGAGAGCCCATGCTTCAATGGGGGATAAAGTACTAAAGAAGAGAAGGAAGAAAATGACATGGGATACCACAGGCAGAAAAGCCGCAGACCGACAGTCATCGTGATCAATTGTGAATACCTTATGTATCAACATCGATATGAAGAGGATATGATATAAACAGAACATAAGGAACTTAGAAAACTGTTGGTTTTTTTACTTCCCTTTTATGGCCATGAGCAAGCAACAAGGATGCGTGGAGTGGCATAGGAAAAGAGGTGCTGGCCGCACCAGGTATCATCACTGAGAGGTAAACAAAGAGACAAATATATATTTTAAAATTAAAAATTTGGGGGGGGGGGTGTGTGTGATGACAGGAAATTGTCTGTGCCGAGTACCATCTGACCTTGCTACATCACTGGCTGCAAGACATGGCCTTGAGGAAGATGTAAGGTCATTTTCTCTTCAAGTTACGTACAGGCCAAATGATCTCTCTGTTAGCAGTATACTGAGTCATGCTCAGCATTTTATTTTCAGGTGTCACGTTGAGGGACATATGTTTTTGATACCATAAAAATAAAATGTGAACATATGTTGGCAAAGTCTGTTATGCCCTGTCCTTAGTTTGAACATTATACCCTGAACTGACCCTATCGAGAGAGATGAAAGGGAGTCTTGGGGAGAAAAATCTGGTGGTCCGTGGTGCCACCCTTTTGGATACTCGTTTATAAATGTCTCAGTCTCTGGGTGTTTTATTTTTTAATCACAAACTGGCTGCACCATGTCTCTGTCACTTCTGTCCCCTAACTCTCTGCCTTCCAAGCCACAGTTACATGGAATCCATTGTAGGATAGATTGTTCTATAGACTTATAGTTATAGAGCAGCCTGTAATCAGCTGTTGCACCAAGTCTAAGTTGAGAACCTAAGGTTCAACCTTAGGAAGCACATGATTAACCGCAGTTTCCCAGTTTGGAATTCACCTCAACACTACAAAGCATAACAGAACCATAATGTTAAAAAACGCAACTTACCAGAAAAATGCTACCTTATCTCCCAGGCCATTCTCCACGTGTCTGTCCAACATATTGTAGGAAATATTCGTCTTGGCACCTTCCATCCATTTGATAAAAATTGGACCCTTCCTTACATCGAAGTTATAGTTCATAAACTGACCTGACGGCCGAGATTCCCAATGAAACTGATCAGCAATTTCACCCCAGAAGGCTTCTGGATCACTGATGGACTTCTCATATATCCGTTGGTACTCCTCAAAACTTTTAACATAAGCTTCTTCCACAATTCTCTTCGGAGGGTCGAACTTGAGGTTTGGGTCATTGTGATGAATAGAGTTAGAGTTAGTGCTGTGGATGTGATTCGTCTTATCGCCCATGTTACCTACGTTTTAATCTTCAGCTTTCTGTTGAGATTCTTCACTTAACTACCAGACGATATTGTTGTTTTAGAGGAAAGGGTCCGGAGAAACAGTTGGAGAGATGAAAACCTGGGCGTTGTCTGTCCAACGATCCGCTCGTCTGCCCTGCTCTCCCTGCAGTCGATGAATGGGCTGCCAGGGCTTTCCTGCTGTGTCATGTTAAATTCGAATTGCCGGGAAAGCGTTGCGGTTGTACATTGGACTACTTTCGGTGGGTTGTCGCTGGCGTGATCAGTCTCGAGGTTGCATTGTCTTGGCTGTCTTATCTACTCTCACGGAAAAGGGAGTGGGGGGGGGGGGGCTGTCGTTGGTTCTTAATGTAACGACAGTTGTCTTGATTAGACGAGGTTATTTTATTAGTAGTATTACTATCTTCTAGTAGTTGTAGTAGTAGTAGTAGAAGGCATGGCTTTTTTTTTTTTTTGGGGAGAAAAAAAATGTGAAAGTAATAACACAAAGTGTCGATTGCAGTAGATATACACCACGATCTCCTTTAGCTTTTATGGAGACGGTAGTGTTATGAACAAAGAATGTCCTGAAAAAGGGTTACGATAATGCGTACTGTTGGCCACCGCCCAAGGAAAAGGCAATGGTACAATGGATCAACATCATGGCACACGGGTAGTAACCCATAAGTGCTCCGTTCTTCTTCTAACTCAAATCTGAGTCCGAAGAAGCTTAGCATAGTGCACAGACTCTGTAGCGCCAACGAGGATCCTGAAACACTTGGTATGGTAGTAGTAGTAGTTGTTGTAGCATTAGATGTAGTTATATTAATATTAATGTTATATTAATTGAGTACTAAAACAAGTTTTATGTTTCTTCAGCCCCTCCTGACCCTGGAAAATTTAAAAGGGTTGGGATTCCCCGCTTCTAATGATTTATGTGTGGAAGCCCACCTGGTTGCAGTAGTTGTAGACGTTTAGTGGTAGTTATAGTAATAGCAGCAATTGTAGATGTAGCAGCAGCAGTAATAGTAGTAGTTGTTGTTGTTGTAACGGTATTAGTAGTAATAGTAGCAGTAGTAGTAGCAGCAGCAGCAGTAGTAATTTAAACAACAAACTACAGTAGTAGTAGTAATTTAAACAACAAATTTAAAATTTTAAATGTTGAATTAAGCATCGACGTCACAGCACTCAGGACACTCCCATAAGTGCTCAGTCCCCATCTTCAGCAGCAAGCAAAGAGTTCCAATTCCGATGGTACTAGTAACCACCTGATTGTATATCCGTCTCAACCTTCCCCTGAGTGTTGAGCGTTGGCCAGATCCCCTGGTAACTCCTTGCAGAGCCATTCCCCTCAGACCGTAGTGATCTATCTGCGCCTCCGCACTGTTCAACAGTCCCTAAAGCGCCCTCACAATATCTAACTTGTCAAACATCAATTCACCACTAAGTGGTGCAGAACCAGTCAGTCTATCTGCCTGCTCATTTCCCAATACACCGGCGTCGCCGGAGGAAAATATCCAAGGATGCTAACTACCCGGGACCTCTAAAGTGATGCTTGCCACTCTGCACGAAGTATACCTGTTTTCACCTTTCTCGACATGCTCCGTAAGTCAGTTACAATCCCGGCATGTGTGTACAGCTGATTCTCAAGCCAGCGGAAGGATGCAGAAACTGCCTCCACCTCCATTCTCAAACTAGACGTTTTGATATCAAATGCAAGCTTTACTGCACTAGGCAACGTTCATTCGCCTCTGCTATGAAACCCCATGCACTTTGCCCCTCAACCCAGAGCCATCTGTATAGATACAACAAATTTAAACAACTGTTCAACCCATCCGTGTTTTAATTGGTATATATTTTAACATTGATATTTAAAAGAAACTTCATTATCTTTTTAAATGCAATTCAAGAAAAAAAAACTGTATGGGTCAAACGCTGGTAACGTTTACCAAAAAATATGCCAAACAAAATCACAAATGAAGAATCGACGAGGAAAATAGTATGTTTATTAATGGCAAACGCTATCAAAAAAGGGCATGAGGTGGCTTGGGCATGTTTGCAGAATGGCTCCTGGCAATTTGGCAAGGATCGTCCTTCGGTGGACGGCAGATTGGGTGGAAAAAAATAGACATGGGCGACAAGAAAACCTAGAGAAAAACAGTACAAAATAAAATGCTGCTAAATATCTAAAAACACCATAATGACATAGGATACCATGAAGTGAGAAGCCGCAGACAAGCAACAACGGAGATCACTTGAGAATGCTTTGTGTGTCAACAGCCAAATGAAGAGGATATTGACAGATAATAGATATGGCAGGGAAAATACCATACATTTTATTAGACGGGGAAGAATGCAAACTTATTTGGAACCTGTGGAGATGTGGTTTTATAGACGAATTATGATAATAGCCTGGACAGGTGGAAAGATTAATGAAAATGTCTTTAAACTGTAACTGACATCATGGCGTGTAGGGTTATCTGTATCAGAGTTGACTGTAAGTACACGAAACAAAAGGTTGTGTATAGACATGACTACCAACGCCACACGGCTCGGACTTTAAAAAAAAAAAAAATAATAATAATAATAATAATAATAATAAGAAGAAGAAGAAGAAGAAGAAGAAGAAGAAGAAGAAGAAGAAGAAGAAGAAGAAGAAGAAGAAGAAGAAGAAGAAAAGAAGAAGAAAAAGAAGAAGAAAAAGAAGAAGAAAAGGAAGAAGAAGAAGAAGAAGAAGAAAAAGAAAAAGAAGAAGAAAAAGAAAAAGAAGAAGAAGAAGAAGAAGAAGAAGAAGAAGAAGAAGAAGAAGAAGAAGAATGAAGAAGAAGAAGAAGAAGAAAAAGAAGAAGAAGAAGAAGAAGAAGAAGAAGAAGAAGAAGAAGAAGAAGAAGAAGAAAAATATTGAAGGAGTCTTTAATAGGGTTTTTAATTGTTTGATGCTGACAATATTATAAATGCAAAAATGAGGTCAGCATATAAAGCATGTGAGCAGTAGGAGACAGAAAACCAATGGAAAGACAACAGTAAGAAATGGACTAACAACCTGTTAGATTTGTAGAATCAGTGCTAGAACAGCGGCTCAATCCTATACAACCAACTATTGCTGGATTTAGTCATAAGCTAAACTTAGCTGCAGTTTATGACCTGACTATCAATAGAAACCTTAACAAATTCATATTTTTGATTTTATTAGAGGTTACATATCATTTCTGTGACTTTACTGACACTGTTTTATTATTTCTCTTATTAAAAGTTAAATGACAATATATTTATATCATACATATATTTGAAAGGCGTATATATTTTAGTTTCTGAAGATTTGCTGGTGCAATTTCAAATAATAGGTGCCTCAGAACTAATTCCATAGGGCCACATCAATTCTAAATCTGGCCTTGCACCCATCCTACAATGCGGAGATGGTGCGTAGAAACTGAAGCAGTGTGTGTGCTGAAACAGGTCAACAGGTCACAGCTTAAAGTCAGCTATCGAGACTGGTCAAACTCTTATCAACTGTAAAAGTTGCCAGCGTGTCAGACTGCTGAGGCCGTGTCTTTATTTTATATCTTGTTATGTCATCGTTAATTCCGTTACGCTTTTGCGACAATGTGGTTGGGTCTGGGGGGGGGGGGGGGGGGCGGAGTTATGCCAGGCAGTTGGCGGAACAAATCACATATCCATATTTTTCTGTAAGTACTCCAAGTTGAGGTTCCGGGGCCTCATTTTGGACGAATAAAAAAGAAAAACCCAAGTAAAAGGCCACTAATTAGGGATTTGTTGAAATCGGATGAGACAGGTGCAGATTTTGTAGTCGGACTGTAAATCACAACGCGCCATCCGCCCTTTTTAATAAAGGGTGAACGTAGAAGGAGAAGAAATCTCTTCTTCTTCTTCTCTTTCCATTGTACTTCAGTGAAAAATCGGGAGGAGATGTATCGTTCGTTGATGAGCTCTGTCAAGAGCACTATTACGATTGATGTTCAATACTGTAAGGCTGTTCTTAATGCCTCTACTCCATATTTTTCCGAGGTCTTCCGCTCGCTATATACCCGTTGTAACATTTCAGTGTGGCTCGCTGTGGCAGATAGTACCAGGGCATTCTTGTTAAGGTGTTCAAACCACTTCATTTATTGTTCTTAGATTACCTGTAAGACTGGCTATATTCCTAGCATTCGTCTGATTTCGAATTATGCCTTTCCTTGAAACTCCTGCAGCTCTTCTACGGCATCTCATCTCTGTCGTCACAATTTTACGTTCATTGGAGGATGTAAGTGTCCACGTTTGGCACTGATAACATAGTGTTGACCAAAAAATAGTTCTGATAAGATTCACGTTAGTACTCCGGGGTATCTGCTTGTGTGTCAACAGGGGAGATAGCTGCCCCATTACTTGATTAGCTTTGCCGTTTTTAGCGTTGGCTTTTAGAAGAAATCTCTAAGAACGTTTTATACAAAATTGGAAGGTCGTCCCGCTTGGTGTTTTTTTTTTTTTTTTTCGAGAAAAGTGTCGTCTAGTTCTATTTCTCCGTTTTAATTTACCCCCCCCCCCCCCCCCCCGACTTTATCGAATGAACAGGACAAAGGATACTGTTGTCATAAGCTTGGGTTGTACTATTTAACTATCGCCTGCTTGTTCTTTTGATAGCCAACAAACCATCGTAGATGCGCATCGAACTATTCAGAGAGGAGACGAGTGAAACAAGAAGAAGAAGCAGGAGACGCAGCAGCAGAAGAAGCAGGAGGGGGAGAATGAGGAGGAGGAGAGCAAGGAGGAGGAGCAAAAGAAGGAAAGGAGGACGACGAAGAGGGTAGAAAGGAGGCGGAGGGGAAAAAACTGTTGTTGTTTGATGCAGAACAAATTAAAAAAAAAAAGATTTAACCAGAAGTGTAAATGTTTACTGTTGTCATAACTGTAACATCCTATCAGTCTACAAAGTGGAACTGTCAGCCTAGCGGGGGCCAAAATGCGTCATCCCAGACGAAAGAAAAACAATCACATTGGACTATATTATAT